CAGCATACAAGAGCAATGTACGATCTATGACAACCTTAGAGTGGAATAGGAACCTGATATCTTCTAATGAGAGACCGTCCAGACTGCCGTCACCATCTATTATACCACGACACACAGCCCGCTTTTTCTCCTACAGTGATGAACGAGTATTCAACGCTACAGGACCAGCGAGCCTACTTGCAGCGCTACGATACGATCTTCTATTGTATCATGTGTCAACATCTTCAGGACTTGAACCCGCTTGCTCTGGCCCAACCGATGAGCCCTCTGGGTGGCCTGCTGTTCGACGGCGGGGTTCCACCATGGATCTGGGAGGAGAATACTCAAAGCATCAGCGTCGGGGAATTCACAATGTATCTGCACTTGCGTATATCCTAATCCGGGCCATGATAAATTTTCAGCCGCAAGTCACAGAGGCTTAGACATTTTCGTATAACAACATCAAGGTGGGAATGCCCAGAAGACTCACCCAATAGGAAGACATGGTTTGCTACTTGTAGGTTGAGGCCCTCACCACCCGACATGAGGGATATCAACAACAGTGGACATGTATCAGCCGAGGACTAACACAACAAGGACCATTGTCTCCATACACCCTCCTACCCACACCTCAACGAAGGTTTTCATCACTTTGGCCCGGAGAGGCAGCGGTAGCTCACCATGAAGAATCTGTAGTAGCATCAGAGCACATACCCTACAGCATCCTGATGCTTACCAACGTGGTGATGCCTGCCTTATGTAGCCTGTATTGGCATAGCTCCAATAGTGATACAAACGAGGAAAACACGAGACTGAAATACAAATGATATGTATAGGAATCCAGGGCGAGACCTCATTCAACTTCCCAAACAACTAGATCCTAATTACAGTACGTGCAATCTGAGAGACCCTGGAGTTCCTATATAAAATTTCAGGTTGATATCAGCAGTAGCTGACTCCTCAGATTGCGCGTACTGTGTCGAATTAAACATCAACTCTACTCCAACATCAGAGTTGCTCACCCCTTTGCCTCTCCATCCGCCTTCCTCATTGCTTCCACCTCCGCGACCAACGCCTCTATTTTAGAAGAGCTCTCGAAATTGGCTATTGGTGCTCTCTTCAGTATGCTGTGCTTCCGAGGCAGTCTCGGGTCGCTCTGGAGTTCCCGGAGCCCACTCATGCATGCAACGAGATTTCCATCATCCTCATCATCACCATCAAATAGGATCTACGCGGCTGGTAAAATCACGGTGAAAGTCACATGACATTCCCCTACATTGCCATAGCGAACCACTAGTGGCTGTTGACAAACTGGACACTGCTGGCTTCGGAGACGGAGCCACGACTGTGCGCAGGAACTAAGGGAAGAACAAGCGATTCAGGAAAGCATCGACTGAACCAGTGATGCAATACTTGTGGAAGATATGGTCACACTTCGCTTTGGCAAGGGCTTGGGCCGAACACCCAGTTCGTAATGGGATTTCCTCGTGGCAGATGCTCTAACACGCATACGCAACTCTAGGAGATTACGGTACATACGGGGATGGCTACACAGTAGATATCCCCCTTCGGCTGATGATGTATCAAGTAGCGATGGTTAGCCGCCTACACAGCAATCCAATACAGTGTATACTTCTCAGTGCCTCTCACCTGGCGAAGTCGCAATATCATCTTCAAGGCTTCCACCATGCGCACAGCCAGTTCCCCCTCTTTTGCATATTTCAAAATTTTGGCCCGATACTGTTCGTAGAGCTCCTGGTAGTAGACTGCCTCCGCCGCAGACAGCACGGCAATGACTGGCCTCTCCTCCATAGGCGGTAGTTTCACGTCGCTCTCTCGTTGAGACTTAGTTCGCCTTAACAAGAACTTCCTCAGCAGCTGCGAGCGAAGGATGCGCATCCCCTGAGCTCCCTCAACCGATGTTAGGCCGGACCTAGGAAGCAACTGATCACTCACGATCGGGCTGACTCACTTCTGTATAGGTCTGGCGATGAAGCGGTTGAAGTAGTTATAATGGGCGTGCTTAGAATGCCCACACTCATGGCATTCGTCGTCCCATGGGTGGTCCAAAACCTCACAGGGACAACCCGACGTATCGCACCCCGTCGTGGATAGCGGCCGCACTCGCAAGAATCTAATATACAATTACGGAGTTCTATGATCCACTGAGATACTCTCACCTCGCTAGGGAATACAAATCACCAACGCGATTCTGTATGGGG